CAACACGACCGGGACACCATCAAAACATGACCGGGACACCATCACAACATGACCGGGACACCATCACAACATGACCGGGACACCATCACATGACCGGGACACCATCAAAACAGGACCGGGACACCATCAAAACAGGACCGGGACAGCATCGAAACAGGACCGGGACACCATCGAAACAGGACCGGGACACCATCACAACATGACTGGGTCACAATCAAAACATGATCGGGACACCATCAAAACATGATCGGGACACCATCAAAACATGACCGGGACACCATCCGCCCACCAGCTCTGACGGTGACCCGACGGCGCCCGTCCGCCTATTAGTTTTGCAAGACCCCATAGCATGGCTATTGGGGAATAAAGCTTTCTAGCAACTGGAAGCTGCTGGCCGACCTGGGTCGGTGGCGAACTCGCGTGCCGAGATACGGTGGTCCATGTATTCGGTGTGGAGCAGACCGTTGGTCTGAGGTGCGGAGAATGGGGTGTGGTGGTTCTTGGGGCCAGAAGTTGAGGCCGCCTTGGAGGCGGGGTGCACGAAGTACTGCGAAGCGTGATGTTCGGACCTGGCTCGGACCCTTGCTTGGCCCTTGCTTTGCCCTTCCTCTGTCTTCGGACTCTGTAGCGGGATCCCAAGCAAGCTCGGCTCCAGGTGTCCGAGCTTGTGGATCCAAGCGGCGGGTTTCGGAGAGGTGTCCTGAACGAAGCGGCTTCGGAGTGTCCTCGAGGCGGCTGCAGTGAAGTTTGCCACCTCTCTTTCTGAATTCTGGTGACCAAACAGACTCAACTTGGTCCGATGGTTTCAGAAATCAACCTTGACTAAGTGGCCAAGGAAGGCTGCATTCATTGTTTCGGATGACCTCTTGGCGGCCCATCGGAGCACTTGGGCGATAGACTCTAGAACTGGATGATTCGCCAGAACGATGTACCAGAGAACTCAAGCGGGACACGCAAGAACTCTGCAAAAAGGGTGAACCCAAGCACTTTGTTGGAAGACTCAGGAGAAACAACTTCCTACCGAGTCAGTGGATAACCTTTAACCTTTCTTTAGGATTGGGGACACCTCACTTAGTCACTAAACAATGAACAGACAACAGCGATGTGCAAGAGTCAGACTTCGTGCGTTCGACATGTTTCTTGGAACGCTTTTGGAAACTCCATTGCAGAGCATGGTGTATACCTGGACCTAGCAGCCAGGGTGTCCTGTCGGTCGTACGTAGTCTATAGGGCCTTCCAGCCAGGTGACCCCCTTTGGTCACGTCCAGTTCCGCGGAGTGTGCATGCGGATCGTTCCAGGTTTTCTACCTGCGAAGTCTCCTGTCGTTCGTGAAGACGATCCAATATGATTAAAAAGGTATACACCTGATGGATAGAACAGATGGAAGAAGAAGAGCACGGACATGCACGTGAGGTCTTTGCCTGCCAGGTCCGGTCCAAGAGACTTCAGTCCGGCCCCACTCCGGGCTGAGCATCCGTGCACGTGCGTGCATCGCTGCCTGAAGAGCAGCGACAGGGAACCGCATGAATTCCCATGGTTGCGCCGCAGAACACGTGAACTCGGGTTGGTGAGACTGGCAGGAACGCCCAGGAATTGTTCCGCCTCAGTGGAAAGCGAATCCGCACTCTGGGAAGAAGCGGAGACTCCATCAGGGTGGTTGCGAGAAGAAAGACGGAACGTGGGAAGCACAGATGGAAACAGGGTGCGACAGGGTTGGATTGCCCACCATTCACGCAATATAAGATTGAGGACCTACAGCAATGCAGTTTATACTGCTGCAGCTTCTCAGCCTGGGCTTACACCAAGGCAGGCGTTTGTCCGCAAGCTGATCGCCTAGGGCCAGCCGGGCCAGCCAGGGATCGATGGGTTGACTTCACCTTGGGTTTGTCCGTTCTTTCCTGTAACAGGACCCATAAACAATTATGATCATTGTTGACCAAGGCCTTTACAAACCATCATCCACTGTTACAGGTCATAGGTTCGTTCAGGTCTTCGTTCTTTGGAGCCCGAGACATCCGTTTTTGAGGACCAGAGATTCTTTCTGCCGTGGGTCTTTGACAACATCTCCCGCAAAAACCACCGATGCCATCATCCCAATCGAACACCCTGGGCATTGGCATGGACCAAACAACCTTTGTGCCGCGATTTTCGCCAGGCATGGGCGAAATCGCGCAGGAGGTGGCCAACATCAAGGCGGGGAGTGGTGAAACCAGCGATGGAAGCTGACGAGATGACTCGGCAGAGGTTGGTTTCTCATGGTACCCTATTGTCGGAGGGTATGTAGACTCTCTTAGACTCGACATCAATCCATCAAGGGCCTTCTTTGAGGACCTTTGGTTTGTAGTTGTGCCAAGCCCTTGGTGCAAAATAGATGGGTCATGATGGGTGTGTGTGTGTGTTGAAACAGGCAGAGCTCTCCTTGGCCCAATGGGTTTTGGTTCACGGTTCATGTTCTTTTCTTCCCAGAGGGTCGTTGCCTCGGAAGTTTGCCGGTTTTGTGGTGTGGCTCGCTTGTGACTGTGAAACACCAGGTGTTCGTTCTCCATAGTGGTTCCTGTACAGGGAGAAAACGTCGGTGGCTACCTGTATATTTGAGCCACATAGTCACCCACAGTGGTGGGTTTTGAATCATTCAAGCCACCACAGCTGGGGGCACCACAGTGCCTTCACTTGGATCCTGGAAATCCACACGAGTCCCTGGATCCAGTGACCGTCCGTGTTCCTCTACAAGTCAGTCCTTGTTGAAAGTGGTTTCAATTCATTCGACGCGACAGTGGATCCGACTGGATCCTTCGATCAATTGCTGGCCAAGGCCATGAAACGACGAGTCGCCGCCGAAGTGTCGATGGTAGTAATCCCATGTCATCCCGAGATCTCTGTGTACCACAGCTCAAGGTACAAAACAAGAGTGTCCATTGGTGTCCAAGTGATAAAATGGTGACGTGTGTCGATGTGTAACCAGCAAAGTCACCTCGACATGACACGTTTCGCGAAAAGGGCAGCTGGTGGCGTGTTGAACCAGTGATGGGTTTTGGGGCCCCGTCAGCGAGATTTCTACCACAGCTTGTTGCCTACTATGGGGCTCCGGACCCCCAGTGATTGCTCTTGGCCTAATGAGAAGAAACATCGAGACTGGCCAGCCGTCCTGAAGGCGAAGGCGGCTGAACAACAGTCTGATCTCATCCTTGCAAAGGTGCCATGGGCGAAATCCAAGTTGGGTTTGTTGGACGGATGAAATTCATTTGCAGGTGGAAGGGATGACCACCTCATCCTGCAAATCCGCCCAAACTCTTGTGGATGAGCACTTCGGTTCCAATCTTGTTCATACGGGGAACCCTGCCGCAAACGAGTCCTTGTCCCGAGGAGGACCGCGGAAGGGCGAACCCAAGGTCGTTCGCACGGTGGGACCGGTCAGTCGGACCTGGACAGGTTCCGGACCGTAACGGGGGCATCCTGTTTGGACCAACCAGGCAAACAAGGAACATGTTTGTATATACTGTATAGATTCGAGCTATTTTTTGTTGTCTGATTTGGAGATCCCTGAGATTGTCCATTGGACACCCATTGGATCAAAAAAGATCTTGTTCAGCACACAAGATCAGCTCCGTGTTGTTTCGACTCTTGTGTGGATTTCGGAGTCCGAATGCTGGGAGGCAAGCGAGCAACAGCGGTTTTCCGGGATTCAGGAACATATATTTGTTGTGAACTTTGGCCTCTTACATCCAATAGAGATCCTTTATTCCTTTTCCATACTCATGAACAGGCAGATCCAGAGAGAGAGAGAGAGTGTCGACGGACCCGTTGGTTGGATGCTTGGGCCGAGGGGTGGCGCCGTGGATCGCCGCCCCACGGATGCATGGGTGTTCACCCACGCACGTAGCGAAGGATGTTGAGGCAAAACCGGATCCTCAGATCGGTCGAACGGAAGGCTCGGGGATTGCGACCAAAAAAAGGGTCCGGGCTGTCGAAGTGAGAGCCAGGTTCTGGGTGGCTTTGGGTGGTCTTTGCAGCCCGTTCGGACTGTCGAAACACCGGTGCCCTTCATGAGGCAATATGATGGTCTTCCATGGTTCTTCAATCAGCTGGGCTTCACGTGCCCCCTTGAGAACTGACATCCAATTTGACCAAGCCAGTTCTGGACCATCCCATGTAGGGTGCGACCACGAAGTGCGCAAACCCCGAACAGATGCTCCAGCAGTTCTTCCAAAGCCGACGCCGACGAACCCGACTCCGCCAGGATGCGGTGGATAAGCTGATCCCCACCAATGCCAGCATCACCGTCTGGTGCTCACTGGTGGGGAGCCCCTGAAAAGACCGCGCGCGCGGTGCTTTTTCGGCTTCGCAGTGTGAAACGTCGTGGCAGTTTGCTGCAATGGGACAGTATTGCTATTGGGTGTTTGATCCCGCCACGGCAGCGGGATCGCTTGCAGCTTCCAAATGCACCATTCTTTCCAGTTTGGAGCATCGAATCGGCGAAGTGCTAGCCCAGGTACTTTGGCATGTTGTCATGCGATGGATTTGTGGCCCGAAGAACCATCGCTTTGCGGATTTTCGTCTACGTATGTCTGTCCAGGCCGCCAACCCAAAGAGCCCAAACATGACCCTTCTCAAAAAAGAGGAAAGGATCATAAAATGAGGAAAGGACGTTGTTGTTTGGTGCATTCTTAGATTGCTTTCCATCTGAAACAGAGGTTATTTGAGGCTTCTTGCGAGGGAAAACTGAGAGGATCAGATCTGGTAATTACTTCTATATGATGTGCTCTTCTTACCCCGTCCGCATTCACAGAGGAGTGAAGATCATGTTGCAGAGAGAAGAAACAAAGGCAGACACACCCGGTTTGTCCAAACGTCCGTCAGTCAGCGCCCGACTGTTCCGTTCGTAGCGTCCCGATCGCTCCTAGTAGTAGGCCAGCAGCCCCGTTCGTAGCGTCCTTGTTCCTAGTAGCGATGCCCTTTGCTCCTAGTAGCGGGTGTTCATCCGTGTTTTGCTCTTCACCAGGTGGTCAAGAAATGTCAGCAGTTCCGGTTCCTTGTCGCAGCACGGGAGCGAGAGAAGGCAGATGTCTTTCAATAGATCAGAACTTCTCAAAACAAGGTACTCCGGGAAATCGTTTAACTGATGTGCAACCCACTTCAGTGAGTTCTTGGAGAAGGGGATCAAGAGGGATGAAATTGGACCAACCGAAAGTAGTTGAACCCAACGAGCTTCTCATCGCCCGGTGGAGTCAGGAATCCGGCCGCGCATGTCGTTTCCGGGCGTGCGGCATGAATGCAGCGATCGTGGAGGCCGGTTCAGTGGTTTCAGAAGAAGCGAAGTCAAAGGATTTGGAAACCCGGTGGAAATCTCATGGAAAGTAACGTTGAAAGCGTGCTGCTACCGGAACTGAAGCTATCGGAAGAGACGCTGTCACAAGCTTTGAAGTTCTTTAACAAGAACAAGCAGGGCGGCAAGCTGGCTTTTGCCACCTTGGAAGCCGTCAGGGAAGATGGCAGCATAAAGTTGAATGCGTCCCATTACACACTGGGAATTACCTCATGCGCCAGGTCAAAATTGCCACAGCATGCGCTGAGGTTGTTGGAAGCCATGCCCAAGGCAAAAGTTCGACAAAACACCTACAGCTATGGTGCGGTTGTCAATGCCTGTGAGAAGAGCGGGCAATGGCAGCAAGCACTGCAGTTGTTTGAGGCCATGCATGAGGTCGATGTGCTGCCAGATGTCATCATTTTCAATGCTGCCATTAGTGCATGTGAGAAGGGAGGCGAATGGCAGCAGGCTTTGAAGCTATTTGAGGCCATGCCTAAGGCAAATGTTCAGCCAGATGTCATCAGCTACAGTGCTTCTATCAGTGCTTGTGAGAAGGGCGGGCAATGGCACTTGGCTTTGTGGTTGTTTGAGATGCTGCCAAAAGCTAGAGTAGAACCAAATATCTTCAGCTTCAGTGCGCTCATCAGCGCCTGCGAGAAGGGCGAGCAATGGCAGCAAGCTTTGCGGCTGTTTGAAGCAATGCCAAACGCTGATGTTCAGCCAACAGTCATCAGCTACAGTGCGCTCATCAGTGCCTGCGAAAAGGGCGGGCAATGGGAGGAAGCATTGCAGTCATTTGATGCCATGAGGAAGGTCAATGTTCAGCCAGATGTTGTTGTTTACAGCGCGGTCATTAGTGCTTGTGAGAAGGGCGGGGAATGGGAGCGAGCGCTCAAGTTGTTCCATGCTATGCCCACATCCGAAGTCCAGCCAAATGTGATAAGCTACAATGCTGCTATTAGTGCCTGTGAGAAAGGTGGACAGTGGCAGCTTTGCTTGTGGTTGCTTGAAGGCATGTCGGAAGCAACCGTGGAGCCAAATCTCATTAGCTACAGTGCGGCCATCAGTACCTGTGAGAAGGCAATGGCTGCAGATTAGGGCCTCCAACTGCTCGTGACAGCCGGTGATGAGGACAGGTTTGGGGTCGCTTGATTTGCGGCGAAATCCATCCTCCCCTGGGGTTAGCAACCCAGACCTCTCTGACTCACATGGAAGTGGAAATCCACCTGTTTGATTGTAGAGAAATAGCTCATCCTTTGGTGTAGAGAAATCATCCACGTCTCCTGGGTCCTAGTCATCCTCCTCGGAGCGTATAGTCGTCCTCCTCCTCGGTCCCCAGAGGTCCGTTTCGGTCCGTTTCGGTCGACCCGGTCGCCGTCCCGGTCGACCGGAACCCCCAATCGACGCGACGTCGGCCCGGCCTGGGTCGGCGTCCGACCGTGGCCCGAACCGGCGGTTTTTGGGTTTGGCCTCGGGGGAGCGGGGGAGCGAGGCGAAGCGGCGTGTGACTGGGACCAGTCAGCTGTGGTGCAGATTCCAGCAATCGTGGCCAGTTTATTTTGCACCCTCGATTGCGCGAATTCTCAGAAGGAACTTTTCTCTTTTTGGCTCCGAGCCCAGTATCAGTACTTGTCTCCGTTGCGCTTGGGGACATCAGATTTGCAGTTGATGCACAAGTATTCCAGTTCATAGAGACAGCTGATCATTGCAAACGCCGAAGGAATTCACAAAGTTTTGCGTACAAACTAAACAGTGCTGCCTGCAGTCGCCAACAGTGCGTTGCGTATTGCTGACTTTTGCTGTGGGATGTCATTGCAAGTGGTACTTCAACACGCCAGCATCAACTTGGACACAGTAACGGTCATAGTACTGGAGTGGTACTTCAACCGATTTTGGGGAGCTCTGCCATCTATCCACTGCATAGTCCACAATGGGTCTCCTCGCATGCAACTATATTGGGACTGTGTTATCCGGCCATGTGCGGATTCACATGCCGTTTGCTGCCGGGGAAGTTCTCGAAGAAAGAACAAGAGCCTTGACCTTGCGACATGTACCATTGCTAGTAGGTGGAGGCCATCGCTAGTAGGTTGGAGGCCATCGCTTCTAGGTTGGAGGCCAATTTTTGAGGAATCAAACCGCCAAATGCTGTACCAAGACAACTCTTAGGTCTTCGAAACATGTTGGATGCCTCGTGGTCATGGACGCTCAATCGATGCAGAGATCGAGGTCCTGAGAAATCGTGGGAAGGAAGAAATGGTCCTTTCATCAGACAATCCATGTATAAAAGAATATCGAAAAGTACTTACAAGAAATGAATGGTCATTAAATGGTTATAAATGGTATGCTCATTTGTGGAAGTTTATAGAATGATTACTTAAATTAGGGTCATAAAGGATCGAGGTAAATATCTGCAACTCTTCCAGTTCGGAGCGTTTTGACAAGGCTGGTCAGTCTGGAAGTTGTGGTACTCAGAGCCTTGAAGAGTGTAGGTTCCACCAAGGCTCTTTTGATCTGTGCATCTCCTTTTTGGAATCATGGAAGTTGTTTGACTCAGGTTGAGGAACTCCGGTTTTCTGGCGGTTGGGATAGGGTGGTATCCCAGCCTTGCAGAGTCTTGTCCATCAACAGCTGTGCGCTGTGAACCGAAAGAGAGTTCACCATTCGCAGGCAGTACTGTAGGAACAAATTGACCAGTTAGGGCACATAGGCTATGTTGCTACACCATTCTTAGTTCAAGACTGCATTACCACTTATAGAATATATACCACAAGCACGTCGAATTCGCGTATTTCTAGGACTTGCTGTCATTGATCCTTGAACAAGATCCCCAAGCAGGTCTCATAGACTGCCTTCTATTATTGGCTGGTATATCAACAGAATGGGTACTCTCAAGTTAACAAGCACGTTCGGCATATTGTCCCTAGCCTAGGCTACTGGCATCGACCCCTCTATTCCCTCGGACCTCAGACAGGCGGGTCTGTCGAGAAGCTGTGCCATGGCACGAGGTGTTTCGGTAACGCCGTCGCTTTGCAAGCGATCCATTCAAGACAAGAGCAGAGATGAGTTGATATGGAAAGTTTGTCGAAAGCTGACGGAAAGCGAGGTTCAGGGTGTTCTCTTGCCAGAACTGAAACGTTCAGAAGAGAAGCTTTCTCAAGTATTGAAGTTCTTTAGACAGCAAAAGCGTGGTGATTTGGCTTTCGCTACTTTAGAAGTCGTCAGGGAAGATGGCAGCATAGAGCTCACGGAAGCGCATTACGTGCACGGAATTGCCGCGTCGGCAGCAGCCTCGTTGCCACAACAAGCTGTGAGTTTGTTCGAGGCCATGCCGATGGCAAAAGTGGCGCCAACTGCCATCAGCTATAATGCGACCGTCAGTGCCTGTAAGACAGCCGGGCTGTGGCCACAAGCATTGAAGCTCTTTGAAGCCATGCCCAAGAGAACAGTGCAGAGAGATGTCATCAGCTACAATGCTGCCATGAGTGCCTGTGGAAAGGGAGGAGAATGGCAGCAAGCATTGAAGCTGTTTCATGCTATGCACACCGCTACAGTTCAGGCCAATGTCATCAGCTACGGTGCTACCATCAGTGCCTGCGGAAAGGTTGGGCAATGGCAGCAGGCTCTAAAACTGGTTGAGGCCATGCCCACAGCAACACTGCACCCAGATGTCATTTGCTACAACGCAACCATCAGTGCCTGTGAGAAGGGTGGGCAATGGCAGCCAGCATTAAACTTGTTTCACAAAATGCAAAGCGCGGAAGTTCAGCCAACTGTCATCAGCTACAATGCAGCCATCAGTGCCAGTGTAAAGGGTAGAGAGTTTGGGCAAGCTCTGAAGTTATTTGGGGACATGCCCCAAGCAAATGTTCAGCCAGATGTCATCAGCTACAGTACTGCTATCAATGCCTGTGAGAAGGTTGGACAATGGGAGCAAGCATTGAATTTGTTTGAGGCCATGCCAACGGCACATGTGCAGCCAAATGTCACGA